ATAAACCTGTTATAAACTTGTTTCTAATTTACTGTCAATTATTTTGTAACCATGCTTATATTACTTCATGTGAGAGTGGCGTGTTACTGTTTTCTATACTGTTAAGGCCGGTTTAGACGGTACGATTTTCGCCCACAACTAGTGAAAACCAGGCTTAAATAATTATGATATATCGTGAATAAAATATCCTTTACATATCTTATTCATATTCATGATCACGTCATTATTCTTTCTAAAATGTTATAATTATGCAAAAGATTCAATGTTTGTAGAACTTAACAGTCTATTTCAGTTCTAATTAAAACAACCACCTATATCCAAGTCCTCCTTTCAGTCTCGAGTAAAAATCAATCACTAAGGTATAAACGTCATGTATTAGGATTTTTATGTTTTTATTTACTTTCTATATATTCTGGGAGATGACAGTGAGTTGCTACACACACGCACTTCAAATCCCTTTTTTACTATAAACGTCTATGAAAACAAACTTAACATTATTTTCAAACTTTATCTTAACTTGTTTTTTTAATATTGCTTTCTATTTCAATATTCTAATTCGTGTGTGCATTATTATTCATCGTTACTTAAATAGCAGCCATTCCTTTTTCTCACCTTACCATATAGTATTTTTCGCTTAATCTCTGTGATTATTCAACAGGTTGATTAATTAATGGGTTGGGGGTTTTTAAGCGGTCGGCTTCAAATTTGCAGATTCTCTTATTACAGCTCTTCCATTCACACGTGCGAAACTGTACATTTTTCCATGCGTTTTCATGTCATCTTATCGGCACGTGCCCTAAAAACATTTTGTTTTCCGATGATGTAAGTCACTATAAAATTGATCCCACAAGTTGAAGACTGCATTAGAATTCCAGGTAGTCGGTGATCTATGTGAGACTAGTATCTTTTTATGTGGCTTCATGGATCCATCTGGCACCTTTATATATCTCAGATAACGTCGTCCCCAATAGCGTTATAAAATGAACAATAATAACTAAAAGATGAGATTCCTATACTGCTTAAAAAAAGGTTTATAAAGTTTATGTATTCGGGTTGCATGCTGCTTACCAAGCTTGAAGTGTATTATAGCCATATTTAAATTATGTCAACACCGAAGAAAGTATGCCGGAAAAATTGCAGACGAATTTTAGGAAAATTTCATAATGTTGACCATTTGCTCATTGCATTCATATCGCCCATGGTGCATTTCGGGCTTGGTATCTAACACGTAGTAGTAGTAGTAACACTTTATTTAAAGAGGGAACCGTAATTACAGAAAACTGTACTCTCCCTCATGGCCCTAACAAAAATATAGAGATATATTACAATAATAAAAGGTAATTAAACAAAAAATACAAAACATCATAAAGATAATAAATTAGAGGGTAAAATTTGATAAAAATTACAAATATGTATAATTAATACATTAAAGGTATTCAAGTTTTCAAGAAGGCTTGGACTAAGACATACATGCAGGCATGCATGCACCACAACGAAACAGTGGAAACATGCAGCATGCTTCACTACCTTTACCAACCATTTTTGAATTAGCTATACACCTATTTTTTTAAAAAAAACGTTGGTTGGCCGGATATGAGTATAAATATGAGTTACAAGTGTGATTTTTCTTATTTTAGCCATTAGAGTTTATTTGTCATCATTTGTAAATTAAAACACTGATTACTATGAGAAAAACATAATTAATTTGCAATAACCTTTCTATAAACCCTGAGTAAGAAAATGATGTTTTGTACACGATATTTTACGCTGCCCCAGAAAAGTTTTGTATATTTAATAATACCTCCTATGACATCCCACTATATTACGTATCATATTGGAAGTATAAACCTTTATATATCCCTAAGATGCAACATTCAAATCATATTTTAATTTTTTTTACCATCCAACTATTCACTGAATCTATTCATTAGAATCCATGCTGAAAACTTTATTCCATTTGCTCCCACACAAGAGAATAAGGTTCTTAATTAATTAGCAAAGTCTTATATACTTACTTTAGATAATAGGACTAGATGCCGTCTAATTTGGAAATAATTGGAGCTAAGAAACTCCGAGGACTGACAAAATTGGAAGAGACCGATAGGGCGAGTCCAATTTGGCATTCTGAGGAATTTTTTGAATTCAATTATTTCCAAATTGGACAGACATGTTGTCCTATTGCAGGTTAATTATATCATCCCAAACTATACTAGACTGATGTCATTGAAGTCATAGTTTTCCCTCGAAAGAATGCGAATGATTATACAATTAGGCCTAGCGGGGCAAACGTCAGGGCAAACGTCAAACTTTCCATGCACCGAACTTAATTACATCATGCCGCCTCATTATCACCTGATATCCATTGTTTTTAATGAGTTCGGTGCATGGAAAGTTCGACGTTTGCCCTAGATAGGCCTTAGTTTAGTAATGAAGAATTAGGGACGTTCGTCGGCTTGATAAATAAAGAACTATATGGTGATGATGATAATGATGATAATGATGATAATGATGATAATGATGATAATGATAATTAAAAAAATAATAGCTAACAAATTCATAATCTTCTATTGGTGATTGAGATTGCAATGTGAAAAAAAAAGACAATGCGAAAAAAGTGGTACTGTGTCTTACGCTTACACCATAGTTAATAGAGGGGAATTATCTATTAACTATGCTTACACCAACAATAATCGTTCGGAATTCTAGTAAAAGATGCAGTTTTTTTCCTGAGAAACGATTTGAATTCCACTTGAAAAACTGCTTCAACGGTGATTGGTTCGCTATTGGGTGCGTCAGCATCGGTATACTGCCTTTGTGATCCAGCACATTCCTCAGATCAAAAGGCTATAATCAAGCAACCAATTAAAAGGATATCCTCCACCCTTTATAGTTCCGAACCAATAACGAACAAGATTAAGTCAAGAGAGTGTTTAAACTCTAATAATTTCAMCAACGTGATCAGACTACTTCTCATTTTGATCAGTCAAGAATGGACAAAGAAGTCAAAATGGCCAGAAAAGAGAAAGAATTTATAAGTCAAAATACAGCTTTGGTATTGCCTCGAATACCGAAAGGTAGGATTTTCCTTGTTACTCAGTCTTATGGGAATGACACCACAGATGTGAAACGAAAGCAAGACGAAGTCAAAAAATTAGAAAAAGAAGAAACGCGGTTTGGCCTGAAGGACCCGTTTTTGGAGACATTTTTGCCTGACATCGATCTATCCCTTCGTCAGTATTCCAACAATTTCCTGAAGAAGAAAAACAAAAAGAACTAGAGTACAACAATGAGTATGACTACAGCAATGTTTGAAGAAATTCTAGTGTTAAACCTTAAAGAAAATTCGACTTTAGCTATCGCTTGAAAAAAAAACAACCATCGCCTAAATGCTGTGTTAAGAATACTTGTTGATAAACCGAAACGTTTAAACTATTAACATCTAAATTTTTAGGAGAAAAACCTTGTTAAGTACATATTATACTGAAATTCTGTCAATAATTAAAAATATTCAAAAAATGGAACTTAGCCATCGCATGTTATGTAACAACCGAACGACCTAATGAAAGTACTTTTTAAACGAGGACCAAAAGGCCGTCTGAAATATTATAACACCAAAATTTGTAAGTCATGGCAAGTCTATTTTTCTGTTCCGATATCGTTTTTATTATAACAATAAATATTATAACATCAAAATTTGTAAATCAGAGAAATATATCCACCTGTAATTTCAAGATATTTAAAAAAATGAAACTTATGTAACTGTCAATGTTATGTAAAAACAACCGCCTGAACGTAATGATGAAGGTACTCGTCGAAGGGCCAAAACGTCTAAACTTTTGATATCCAAATCTGTAAGCCACAGACAAACCTTTTAAAGTATATTATAAATCGTGTCTGTGATTTTAAGAAACAACTATTTCAAAAGAGGGTATGTGGAGTCTTTGTCAGGTAGATTACATGAGATAAGTAGACACCTATTTAACAAAACGATACCGATCCGAGATCTGAAAAGTACGATCTGAGACTGAACCGAAATGTAGTGCTCTAATTTATTTTGGCTGAAATACGAACAATCACATACACCTAAATCCAAAATGGCGCACGGCCGGTTGAAAACGAGGCATCCTGGGCCAAATTTACAAATTTAAAGTATTTTCTTATAATTTGATGCTTCAAAATTGTCGCGTTTCTGAATGTAAGAAGAAAAGGAAGACAGAACAAGTGAACAAGTTTATGCTTTGCATTGACACCATATTATTTCTTTGCATTTGGCCCTGGATGCCTCGTTTTCATGTGACACTCAGCCGTGCGCCATTTTGGACTTAGATGTATTTGTACATCAAAGTTACGCCAATCTAAAAGAAAACTAGAAGAGATAACTATCTAAAAACCTAGTGTGAGCTGCGTCGGTGTTTCTAATGAAACAGTAATGATAAAAGGGTAAATTATACACCGTGAAAAGATGAAAAAACTTACTGACGTTTCGGACGCTAGTCCTTCGTTGGAGTAAAAGAGGAAAAGAAAAGAAAAGGAAGGAAAACTACGTTGTTCGCGTCGAATATATCAAAATTTCCAGCGTGCTACTCGAAATTAAATTTCAACCGACAATGTATTCTGAATTAGGTGTATACGATATATCGGGTTTGTTTGTCATAGCAAGAGGTTAACCCCAGCCATAGTCTTCGTCTGAGAAATTTATTAAGTAAGAAATTCAACATGACCGAGCAAAATTTATCAGTTAAATACCACATCTACATAAAATACTTGTTTCTGATAGGTTGTTTGGGAGTTATGTTTTTAATTAACTAATCCGTGCAACTAATTGATTTCACAAACGCGCGCATGCAACTAATTAATTGCACACACCTGCGACCTTTTTACAGCGTGTTGTTGAAAACAAAAGTGGCGCCATAAATACGCGATTTGTACTTGCGTCACTAGCAATCTGTTATCATTTTACTTCAGAAACGCGTATTTTTTGTAGAGGTATTATTAAAAGAAATTAGTAAGAATACACAGGTGATTATTGAAAATTGTGCGCGCTGATTGGTCGAGAAACTCACATAACACGATAATCACCTCCAACAATAATCCAAAATGGCGGCCAGCCAACTTGTTGCTGTTACCGGGAAAAAATGTGTTTTATCTTCTTTTTTCTTCTTCTTCTTCTTCTTCTTCTTCTTCTTCTTCTTCTTCTTCTTCTTCTTCTTCTTCTTCTTCTTCTTCTTCTTCTTCTTCTTCTTCTTTTTTTGAAAGAATAGCCTGTGTATTTATACTAAAACGATCATTTGCCTCAGCCTCAGTGAATATCGGGCAAGACTCGCGTCTTGGTAAATATTCCCCGACCCCATATTCCTTCGTTTTCGGCAAATAATTGTTAAATACCACCTTAGTTCTCGAAGAATTAATGGAAAATAACAGTTGCATGCATTTGATGAAATGCAAGTGCTACGCATCGTGGTATTACGAAGTGGCAGACTTCCTCGGAGATCCACTGAGGGAGTGTATGCTTTAGGATATATATATATATATATATATATAGTGCGAATGCACCCAAGAATCGTAGTATCAAGATGTGGGGAAAATGAAAAAACATGGCACCCAAGCTAAGTTGATCTATTCTTCACAAGTTCTTGTTTTAGCTAATCTTTCCAAGGATTGACTAATCAGTTCGCTCAGCTGTTTTGGCATAATCTTCAAGTGATAAGTTAACATCCCCCAACAGATCTTCCAGGAATTCCTTTTCTTGAGGACTACAGGGCTGATGATCATTGACGTCTCCAGGTACCGGGGCTCTGTTCGACTTATCTCCACTATTAGTTACTTCATATTTGCTGCTAGAGTGCACACCATTCGAAACCAAAAATACTCTCCCTTGTGGAATCGGAGGAAGGTTGAGACCTCTAGATTTTGTTGTCTTGAGTTTTTGCTCCATCGCAATCGTTCTACTCTTCTTCAAAACGCAATTAATTGTTCTTTCGGTTTCGTTCAAACTGACCTAAAAACTCATTGGCTTTGTTTTTCTGTTTTGCTAAGTAACCTAGAAACGATAAGTTATTAATGTCTTTGGTTGTTTTGGTTGTTTTGGTTACGAGACTGGTATCCTAGGAGACCACACGGAGACGTCGCCAGATGTTCATACTCAAGTGGCTCCAACCATAATAAATCACTTTCGCTATCTTAAAACTCGATGTCTTCTCGTGGTCTCCTAGGATAACAGCCTCGTAACCAAAGCAACCGACATGAGCACCCTTTGATGCTTTTTTTAGAATCATTGATGCTATTTTTAGATTCATTCATTTGATCGGGGTTTTTTTCTGCGCGTGCATATTGCACGCGCTTTAAGCTGTTTGCTCCCATGCTTTCATGTTTTTTTCTCCAAAAAACGTGAGCAAACAGCATAGAGCATGCGCGTGCACAAAAACGAATGATGGCTAATGTGTTAAATAAAAATAAAATAAAAATAGCATCAAACGGTGCCTATGATAGTTATAAGGAGCATAAATACCAAAGATTCCTTCATTTAGATCACTATTTTCTCTAGTGGCTGGTTAGCATAAAAAAACAAGCAGATGATATATCATTCCAGTTTGCTATATTAAGAAACGAGTGGATTCAAGAATACGTTTATTGGTAAGAATATAATAATGCACTATGTACAAAATTCCTATTCCGACATTCCTTATATCGGAAGTCCAGAAATCCAGGTCTCAAAAAATTGATTATGCCAGAGCCCTCGTTCTTCGCCGCAGGCCAGAAGAAACGCAGGCTTTGGGTACGATATTGATTTGTGTCGTGACAAACATGGCGGAATCACGAGAAAGTGTTTTCCTCCAAGGCAGCCCTTTAGCCTTGGCCAAAAGAAGATCTAATACTAATTGTAAAAGAACACATCGTTTCTGCGTGAGGAAGATCTTCAAGAATAGACAAAAAAAAAGGTCTATATAGCCACAATCTTTTTACGATCGCTCGATCTCAGGAATATGTTTCCATATGATCGCTGACGATCGCTGGCATTATTTTCAGCGATGATCTGGTGATCCTGAGCGATCATATGGAAACCAGCCTTAAGTGACCAATTTGTATGGGTAGATTCCTTCAAACTTAGCCTTGAATTCAGGAATTTCAGGAGGAGGTTACGCGGGCTGAATAGTTTTGTTATTACTATAATAATGAAAAATGTAGAAATATGGCGAAATATACAGATGAGGTGAATTACATATATTGTATAATATTTTGTCCGCTACGCGTCGTGTTCTTCTCTCGTATTCTGCCAATCCCCGGGTGCTTTATAACTGCACACAGCACGCGCGCGCGTTTTCTATTTCTTCAAAATACAGGGCACGCAAAGTTTTTTTTACAATTCAGGAGAAATCTGTATTTGACTAACTTTCAGGGTTTGTGTTAATTTGATTTCAAAGTCAGCATAAAAAAAGCTATATATAATAAACAAGCATTATTTAACAGAGACTTAGGATGGACAGTTCCAGTAAATTGTTTTCTTCTCATGAAGAAATATAACATATTGTATATGCACCCGTATAGTGGTTAGCATCGAGGGCGCGCTGTAAAAGCGCGATTACACGGAGTAAAAAGATATAACTAGCTAAAAACTAGTGTGAGCTGCGTCGGTGTTTCTAATGAAACAGTAATGATGAAAAGGTAAATTATACACCGTGAAAAGATGAAAAAACTTACTGACGTTTCGGACGCTAGTCCTTCGTCGGAGTAAAAGAGAAAGAAGTGGTAGAAAGGAGTGTGTATATGATAGAATAAGACAAAAGAAAGCAATGAGAGCAAGGTAGGCAAGGAAACAAAAACAAACACGGAGTAGTTTTTTCAATTTTCTCAAAGTTGCGACACAAGTTGCATGGAGCATTGCACCGTGTAAAATGCAACGCAATATGAAAAAAGTTGCAGCAATCGTTGCAAAAAGTAGAATTCCTTTCTACTTTTTTGCAACGATCGCGTCTATGTTGCACCGTGTAGACACTCTTGCAACTTGTGTTGCAACGCTGTTGCGAGACAAGTTGCAGAGAATTCTTTTTTACGTTTTTGCAACGATCGCGTCTCCATTGCACCGTGTAGACACTCTTGCAACTTGTGTCGCAACGCTGTTGCGAGACAAGTTGCAGAGAAAATTAATTGCTCCGTGTGATCGCGCCTTAATTGTCACCTATTGCTCACTTTTGCTATAACTGACTTAAGGTTTATAATTTCATTCAATGCCTGGTGATGGGCCAACAGGTCCAAAACCTTAGTTATTAAAAATACCAAATTTCACGTAAATAACCGTTTTGATTTTGATAACTATGATACATAAATACAACATACTCAATCTAATTGTAGAAGCTTTTAAACAATGCCAAAATTACAGAAAAATTTATATCCCTCAAAACGTTCTTCCAACCATGCATCTTTGTATTTTTAAATCTTTTAAAATATCATAATTTCGTTACTATTTAAACAAACTTAACCAAATTTTCAATTCTTACTAACTCGTAATATTTCCTCTTTCCTCTAATGTGGTATATTTTTTAATTAAGTTAATTTGTAGAAACGTGGTTCCAGTCCCCCGCTGGATATTTATACATCTGATAATCATACATCTCTAATGCTAGCATTCCAGACTACGCGATAGCTGTTCTCTTTTCTTTTCCTAATCTTCAACAGCTACCAAACTGACTTTGACTATGAGATTTGTTTTGCTTCGATTTATTCTATTGGTGGCAATATACTGCATTTCTTGAATTCCTGATTAGCCGTGGAATCTGGCATCTTTCTTGATTCCTTAGATTTGATTTTGTTTGGTCCCTTGGACTTGTGGTAGAGTCTCCTTGTCCGGGACTGTTAGACTGTTAGATACACCAATACTTTTCGTTTCCTTAACATCACCTTTAATAAAAAAATAAGATAAAAATTTCAGATGGTTTGACTTTACTGGGAAAGTTGTCGATATGGCACTTTGAATTCTACCTGAGAAACCTAAACTGCTCAGTAAATATTAATCTTAGTCTTCAGGTGAGTGACTCCTATTAGAATGACATGACAAAGTGTTGTTAACTACAGAAGCTTAAGTAATGTTTGCGTGTTTTCCCGTTCTCGAGAGGTTACTGAATAGAAACCTTTAAATTATATCGAACTCTGAAACTTCTGAGCTGAGCAAATTCAGGGCACAGCTACGGGAAACACACCCGAGAGACCTCAGAGGTGAAAGGCGGGTACACTACGTTAGCTACGCTACCTCATATACGCATGCACCTATTTCAAAAAACGCTGTCATCGCCAAAGGCGATAGGTAATAGACGATAGGCGAAAAGCGATAGGAGATAGTCCCTCCAAGATCCATGAATAACTGAAATGACTTGTGTTTTTGCTTCTTATTTTCTTTAAGAAAATGGACCTTAGTGTTGAGACTGATTCAATGTTTTTTGTATTCAAAGAAACCGTTTCCATAGCGGAATGACATATCGCCTATTGCCCGGCTTTTTCAATGACAACGTTTATTGAATATACGTATGCATCCTTTTCAACAATAGAAAAAATGAACGGTCATCGCCAAAGTCAGATACAAAAACTATTGAATCAGTCTCAACACTAAGGTCCATGTTCTTGACGAGGATAAGAAGCAGAAACACAAGTCATTCCAGCTATTCTTGGATCTTGGTATGACCTATTCCTATTGCTTTTCGCCTATCGCCTATTGACTATCTTCTTTGGCGATGACAACGTTTTCTTTTTGAAATAGGTATATATGTATATACGAGGTAGCTTAGCTAGCGGTACTAGTGCTTGATAGTGTTTATGATAGTTGAGAATTACACTAATAAGTAGATCGAAATTTAATATAAGATACACGTGGCATAGAATCACAAGGAAAACTATCAAGGACACGGATTAGGATTAACACGCGAAGATCAGGTGCGTTGGTCAGTCAGACAAAAAACTCCCTATCAATCTTAAAAGGGGCAATCTTAAAAGGGGCCATCTTAAAAGGGGCCATCTTAAAAGGGGCAATCTTAAAAGGGTCCATCTTAAAAGGGGAAATCTTAAAAGGGGCCATCTTAAAAGGGGAAATCTTAAAAGGGGCCATCTTAAAAGGGGAAATCTTGAAAGGGGCAATCTTAAAAAGGGCAATCTTAAAAGGGGCCATTTTAAAAGGGGAAATCTTAAAAGGGGAAATCTTAAAAGGGGCAATCTTAAAAGGGGCAATATTAAAAGGGGCCATTTTAAANGGGGAAATCTTAAAAGGGGCAATCTTAAAAGGGGCAATATTAAAAGGGGCCATTTTAAAAGGGGAAATCTTAAAAGGGGAAATCTTAAAAGGGGCCATCTTAAAAGGGGCAATCTTAAAAGGGGCAATCTTAAAAGGGAAAATCTTAAAAGGGGAAATCTTAAAAGGGGAAATCTTAAAAGGGGAAATCCTAAAAGGGACAATCTTAAAAGGGGCCATCTTAAAAGGGGCTATCTTAAAAGGGAAAATCTTAAAAGGGGCAATCTTAAAAGGGGCAAAAAGAATGTTTAAAAAGAAAGCTATGTAAAACTTAATTACATTTTCTATCTGAATTTATCTGAGTAACAGCTAACTTAAAATAGTTATAAATTTAATTCATTTTTTCAACGGCGTGTTAAATGATACTAAAATTAATACTTTGGATATTTTATCTCACAATCGACCAAAATCAATATTTTCTGGTGGTGTGTTCTAAAGTAAAGCCCCCTATAGAATGGGCAAAGACTGTTCTTCAAGATTTTTAACTTATGATTAGAAAATATATAAAACTTACTTTTGCCTTTATTTCCGTCATCATTTTCGTCTTTATAGGAACACCTACTTGCTATTTTGTCCAAAAAGAAGTTTATTTCTGCAACCGTTGGGCTTAATATCGATTCGTAGTCATTTTCTTCTTCAGAAGGCTCTCCTAAACCCCCGACGAACCCCTCGAGTAGTTCACTCTCCCGACGAGAGTGTGGTGAGGGAGAATCGCAGATCTTTTTCGTGGTTTGACCCTCGGATAATCCTCGGGTAGCTACCAAGCAAACGGGACCTTTAGGGATCGGAGGCAGAAAATTGAAAGTAGCTGGAGAACTATTAGTACAGCCTACTCGATGGTATTTTCTTTTTTCTTTATCGTTTTCGCTGACTTTCGAGCGAGGCACATTGCCTTTACCATCCACCATTACCTTCGTGTACTCCTCACTTCCGTCATACGGGTGAGGTCCCTTTATTGGGAATTGAAAAGCTAATTCTTCATTTTTATTGTCCAGGGCCATACTGGTTGTTTGGTGCGGCGTTGTCGGGGTTAAAGGTGGTAATGGCATCCACCATGACATGTAGGTCGACGATGATGGTCTGTCAGCCAAACCAGGTGAGAAATCCGGCGGTGGGGATTTCATTCCCACATTTCTTGTTTTCTGTTCATGTTCTGTCAAAAAAGTGGGAAGAATAGGGGTGGAGTTTCGTTTTGAAATGATTCGACGCTGAAAAATAGAACGTTTTGGCATTTCGTTTTCATAACGAGCCATGGCGTTCTGATCTACAAGGAAGCGAATACTCGTGTACTAAGAATGACTCGTCAAAATGATCAAAACTTATAGACCCAGATTTTCTTTACGTCATCGGGAGTGGCTGTTGCCAGGGAATGAAAACGACATTACCAAATAAGGCGTTAACTTCAAAGGGACATGGTAAAATTGGTTTTCACCGCGGCCCTATTAGTTCGCATGTATGAGAAGTCAACTGATTAGCAGAGTTAATTACCGAGAACGGAGGCCTGCGGCCCTCGGGATGTGTAGGCTTATTGCCGACGTTCGAGGTAATTAAGTATTTCATTTATCAATTCAGGAGGTTTTCTATCAAATGTTGCTCATCATAAATGCTAAAGTCTATATAGTTATTAACCGGGTTAATAACTAACTATATATTGACCTCGCATTTAACATGAGGGTTATAACAAAAACTAAAGCCTTGTGAATAACAAGGAAAACCGTGTCAATTGAGAAATAATGAAGATAATATATTCGCAATACAGATATTTTCGCCATTTGAGCTGAGGCCTGATAGGCGAAATGTATCGTACATTTGAATTAAAAATTTAACTTCATTCATCAGGTGTAAAGACCTTAATATAAATCCAATATAGTTTATTTATAATATTGTTCTAATAATCTAATGGCGGGTAAAAACGCCTCCAAGTCATAATGGACGTTATCAGACGTTCCTCTAGGATACGCAGAAGATAAAGGATACATGTCGATCACTTTAAAGTTGGCTTGGCACATTACTTGCGTTGCATAGGCATGGAACAATTGGATTCTCTGAAGAAAATAAAACAATAAAATGATGATAAGTGAATGGACGGAAAATGTTTTCGTAGATCTATTAATCTTTCCGAGGGAGCGGGAAAAGTAGTACAGATAACGATTAGAGGACTGTCGTATAAAATGCTATGTATTTTGTCAATATGGCGAACATTTTAACAAACTCTTTTTAAAAACAGACCAAAAGATTGAAGTCTGAAGCGATTCAAAAACTAAAACATGTAACACAAATAGCGTCACCTGAAAAGCCCCGTCAACACAGGCGATTTTTGCGGCGATTTCTGCTGCGATTTTTGTGGCATTTTCGGAAATATAAAATATTTTGTCATATCCTTCAAAAGAGACATTCGTCTAGGAAAATCTTGGTGTCCTGAATAAAACTTTACAATAAATTCTTTACCATTATTTATTATGGACAGGATCGCCGAAAAAATCGCAGACACATAGTTTAGCGCGCATTGTATTCTTTACCATTTTACCTTGTTTTTACAGAGGTAGCATTTAATTGCCAGTGCCTAACAAATCTTTGGCCCTCGTTCCACAATCTAATTGGAATTTAGGGGTTCATTTTTGTGGAGTGAGGAAAACCGGAGTGCTACACTCGTAAAAACAAGGACGGGTATTTTTAAAAGGCTAGCGCCTACTTAGTATTTTATAGATACCATCTGCAAATCAGATTACCTGGTTGTTATGAAATCTAAAGAGGGTGTGATTTAATGGATGTTCATATTTTTTCTTCCAGTTCAGTTTTTCTCGTTCGATCATGGTTGTCCCTCTCCATACAATATCCATTCGATATGCAGGCTCCTTCAATAACTTGATAACGCGATTAAGAAGGTCTTGATATTGGCTAAAGTTTAGCCCCAGTGAGTAGTGAATACCAAGATTAAATATGAATACACTGTTGGGGTGATTGACATCTGGTGGGCGGAGCTTCCTACGGAACAGGTCCATAACATACGACACGTTGAATTCGTCAGTGTCTTTTATCTTACTACGATCTATTTCATACTGGAAAAGAAAAACGAAATATAATCACTATTCCAGGGTAATTGATCAATGGGGGAAGGAACAAGATACAGGGGCGATTTTTGATTTTTTTTTTTCCTTTTTGTCATCTCAACATGTTTTGACAAAAGGAACCAGAGCCCATAAGGTAACATGCTTTCTAAAAATGTCAATTGTTTTTACAGATAATATATGTTTAGGTGGATGGCTTGTCCACCAACCATTGCAGCCCGTAGCACTGCCTCGAGTCCAAAATGTTAATTACATTCCAGATTCTTTAAAAAAAAAAGGAGTTTCCCAATATGTTCTGCCGGTAAACGAGAAAATTAGGGGTACATCTACCTCATACAACCAATTTTGCACCAGGTCACAACGCTTGAATACTCCTTTACAAAGCTCACTACGTTCGGCCAGATTAAAGAATCGTCTTCCATTGGAGTCGCCAAAGATTAAAAGGGTTTGTGGCTGAAAACGATGACGACGAGAAAGACTTGCTGTGATGAAAATTAAAAAGATTGAAATTTATAACAAAATTTACGTTAAAAATCTATACTAATGAACTGTCAACCATTTGGACAGTAGACCGGACCTTGTGAATAGGACTTCCAGGACATGTTGACCCATCTGCCATGGCCATCCCACATGTGAGAACAGGTCAGTCTACATGATGCAGTTAGTCTGCTGCACGAAGCAACGTCACGGCAATAGCTGAAATATCCTATCGAAAACAATACATATTAATGTTCAATGTTTCTGTTTATATTTTCTTGGAGAGGAACAGAAAGAATGAACGAATAGATGGATAAAAGGATAAATGGATGGATGAACGAATTGCACACCAGTCTTAAAAAGAAAAAACAAAGATAAATCAATATGATCCCTTAGGCATTGACACGCGATCTGAAATAAAAGAGCTTTCCATTACGCAAAAGCTATATAAAAAGTTCTTTATCTAAGCCCAGAATACCTTGCAAACTGGGTCTGATCCTCATTTTGAAAGCAGTTCGTCCTGATAGCGGTTTGTTTATAAAGTCTGCTCTGATGTCCCCCAGAAAGGTTTCATCGACGTTAATGTACAGCCCCTGGTTTGTCCCTAAACAGACAATTAATTAAAAACGATTACTTTAAGCTATTGTCTGATGCTGATATTTTTGCCACTGCAAATAAATAAGTGCCAAAGCCCATCTTCTGCCTGTGGTTAGTTTGCAACAATAAGATTCCATGGGAATTGAATTCTTTCTCATGTAAAACGATTGTATTGTTCGTGCCATCTAACATGGCTGCCGTCACGTGGTGGTGAAAAACCTCTATAAGTGGATGTTACTCTGAAATGTCTCCTTTGCATCTTTGCACATAACTTACCATTTCTAAAGAATTTCTTGGGAGGGTCTCGATACCCGTTACATAACGTATAATCCAGGTAAATACCAGCGTGATATTCACCAGGTTCGACGATGAGAACCAAAACCTCGTACAATCCATTTTCGTGATCGATAACTACTGGTGCTAGTGACGCTGGGCCTTGTCTGATGTACACTCGCCAGGAATCGCCTCCTATTTTCTTGGGATGACCATCCAGATCAACGGATTGGATCCATAGGCGACTAAAATGGCCTATGTGGTATATTAAAATATTGCACTTTAAGGTCGGGATTTGTATTTTGATTGAATGTTATTACTCATTGCTGATTCTCAAGACATCCCCTCTCCTCCCCCCACCACACCAATCAACGATTTTGTGAAACTCCGTAGCCGCGAAGACATAAACAAAGACCCTTCACCAGTTCTATTTTCATTACATGTTCTAGCACTCATTTTTGTTGCCTTCGTTGGGGCTCTAGTGTCAAGGTTCCCATAGGCTCTCTCTTTCTCTGCTGCTACTTGTTCGTAGGTTCCATTATTGCGAAACCTTTGAAAAGCGAACAGCACTGGAGAGATAGAGCCACTGAAATCCAGGTAGAGTTTAAAGAATAAAAGATACCAAGCCCTTAACCCTTGTCAAAGCAGACAATAGACCTTTTACTGATACGGCGGCCATCTTGAATTCTGTTGTTTAAGTACGAGATTAAGGGATGCCGAGGGAGCAAATATTGGGAATTTTATGGACATCACATCCGTCTGGTTGTTTTCTTATATCGCTATCCAATGTGAAACACATCGTTAAAAAATGAATATGCAGGTAGTTGGAGAGATATGTAGAAAACCAAAGCGTTAATTATTTGAAAAAGTAACTTCCCCAATCCATGCTTAATGAATATTTCTAAGTTTGCTTCCTTTGCATCCCATAAGTTGGCTACCGTATCAGGAAAAAGAGCTATTTTCTTACGAAACATTTTTTACCGGCTGGCGAAAGCTCCCATTTACTGATGTAGCTTCTGTAAGGGCTTGTTCTCTTCCGTGACGTCACATCCCGTTTATCCCAGCTCATTTCTTTCCAACAAGGACTGACCATCGATTCCCAGTCTACTCTCCATCTATGTAAGCGGCACCACTGATACCGAAAGTCGTAGATGTCACCCGATACTGACGTGTCGATCTGTGGAGATACATCTCGTCGTGGACATGAGGAGAACCAAGCTATGTATCCGACTGTTGCGAGCGATAAAAATATTCCAAATGTTTTTTTCATCAAAACGATCTACCATTTTTGTGACAGGAAAGCAAATAATTCGGTGTCAGAGGATGTTGTTTGCGAATACCTCACATTAACTAAGACATAATAAAGTGAGGGGAGGGGGGGGGGCGGAAGTTATCAACTTTTTTTGTAATTCATGGTTCCGATTCCCCTTAGTTACCGTTGCTGTCACACAAGCTTATTAACTCTGATCGAGGAAGGTGTATGGAAGAGCTTCGGAAAATATGTAGGCGAAGGATGTAAACATTGACACAGGGGCGCAGTGCATCGTAGTTGACTAGAATACTTTAAAATTAAGTTAGACACATTTACAATATAACTGCTAGGAAAAAAATTGTCTTCAACATTTCAAAATGAATAGTGAAAACCTAGACTAACGCAGAGTATAAAGAAATCTTTCAAATTTATCGATGCTCTGAAAAAAACCTCTGGGCTGATCAAAGTCAGTGAAAAGCTAACTCACTATAGAACCATGAAACAACCTCTGCCAGTGGGCTGATCAATGTCAGGGCACAGCTAACGCGCAAAACAAAACCTTTAAACAACCACTGAGCTGATCAAAGTCAAGGCACGGCTATAACTAGGGTTTACAGAGTCAGGAAAACCATAGGAAAGCCATTGAATCTAGGAAACTGAAATGTTGTAACTCTAATCAAGACCACATTAAAAATGCATATATGAGACGAATTGTCCCCAGGATTTTTGGGAATCCACCTTTGAAAGCAACGCATATTAATTACTCCCATGAAATATTACTTGATAATGGAAAATTCATTTGATTTTAGCTAACTTTTGTGTAGAAGTGCAAATGGATAGAAATCCATTGGATAGAGTTCCCATAATTATTAAGCAACTGGTTTTGCGTCGTGTCAATCTAGAGAAGCTGGCTGGCTGACCCACATTTCACAGACCACAATACAAAGTCGCGTAATCTTACCTTTTACCAACGTATTTCAGAAGACGAGTGTCCAAATAAGATCCCTCTCGGGTGTACTTACAAGCACCTGGAATATTTCAATTCCTTGATCTGACAGAAGTGAGAGAATTTCTTTTAACACCTATTCCTCACTCTGGACGTAAATGTGTAATTTCAGTTTTTTTTTTTCGATAGAACGATCTAGATTTCAAAGAAGTAAAATAATTAAACGATTGGTGTTCGACCTTTCGATAATCTTTGTTTCTAGTCTGAATTGAAATCAGTAATTTATGTGATCAGTATTTCTATTAGAAGAGACTCTGTTTACGAAATGAGTCCATCATTTTTTGCATGATTGTATAAGGGGTCACAGTTGCCATGGTGCAAGTGTAAATCCCATAATTAATTCTATTCTAGTCACAGGGAACCCGGCTATATTTGTTTTCTTCTTTTAGAAAAGTAATTTGCTCTTTGTGGGTTTCCTGTGTTGTGATCGGTTTCCTTTTACATAAGTTGTAATCAGATCTGCGCGCTGTGATAACCGTTAGTGTTTTGTTTCTTACTATGGGTTGCCTGTGGTGTGTAACGCACTTTCTAGTAAGCAGTCAAAAGAAGAGAAGGGCTGAAACAAAGCAAGTGTCCGATTTTAAAACCCCTGTCCAAATTATTCATGAAGGTAATTTATCAATAAAAAACCCACGTAATGTTTGCTCAATGAACAAACTTTGGGTCGGGATGTTTTATTTTGTTGAACTCGTAAAAGTAACGATCCAGTTGCTCGGACCGCTTAGCTTATGAAACAGGATGTATCTGGTGTACGTCCAATTTGAAACAAAAGAATTTGACAGCTTGTTGACAGAGAGATCTAGATTTCCATATATTGTGAAGAGTAATCGTAGGGAAAACTTGCTTTAGTTATCCTGCCGAATTTATTCTCAGGCAAAACACTTGCTTTATCTGAAGTCTACTTGTGCATCTTCAAGATTTGAGATACTGGCACTGTTCCTTCTTTACACACCGAAAAGTTTTTCAAAAGCCTTCAATCAAAAAAAAAAAAAACATTTTCTTATTAGAACTGATAAAATATAATTGTTTTAGTTTAAAAAACGATTAAATTTGAAATAGCCGCTCACTAAAATACGAAATTTGAATTCCCTTGTTTACAGGATTTTACATCTTGAACATTTTCGAACAACATGACGCAATAGAAAAATGAAAATCATCAAGACTTCCTGATGGTTGTACTAAAGTAGCTGGTCCGAGCAACTGGAGGTGATGATCATACGATAAGACTTGCTTCGTTGCAGCCCTTCTCTTCTTTTGAGTGTTTACTAGAGAGTGCGTTACCAACGGTTATTGATTTGAATTTAATTGGCTATCAGTTTACAGCGCAGATCTGATTACAACTTATGTAAAAGGAAACCGATCACAACACAGGAAACCCACAAAGAGCAAATTACTTTTCTAAAAGAAGAAAACAAATATAGCCGGGTTCCCTGTGATGATTACAATTATTTTGCATTCAACTTTGATATAAATAAAAATTAAAATATAAAAAAAATAAGTGTATTTATAGAGGATAGCACTTGAGAGTAATTCAGCTGCTAAACTCTATTCTCTTGTTAATTAAGGACGGGACCGCCATTAAGGTCAAGTGAAAGTCTAACCATATGTAATTACAAAGGCAGCACATTCTTCTCAGTTATCGAGTAATGTCCCCGAGTGATGGTCCGGCCGAGGCCTCACAACCTCCCGCACAACAGACCCAAACGGTCTTACTAACTGAGCTAAGCGGGTGGCGGCCAATAGTTTTTTCCATCAAACGCATTCCATTTTAATTCGTCTACTCTGTACATGGGCTTTACAACGGAGTTGACATACAGTTGCCCATTCAGATCGGCCGTTATATTTAAGGGGGTAAAGGAAAACCGAAATTATAGAACGAAAAAGCAATATAATTCTCTCGCATACCAGGAGGAAAACGATTTTTAAGGTTGGCAAACAGTATCATATCTTTGCCAAGAGTCAGAGAAGTAAACGAAACCAGAATCAAGAAGATGACTGCTACGGTACGTGAAAAAATCGTTTTTTCAAGCTTATTTCAATCCAGTTTTACCAAATACCACAGGTTTTACGATAAAGCTCAACAGGGCAAACTAGAATTTTTTTTCCCCGGATTTTCTAAATCAACAGGTAAAAGGCAATTTTTTGTCAACGTTTAAAAGTGTGATTACCGACTTTTTTCTAAAAAAAGGGGTTGTGTTTTTTTGTTATTTTTGAGAGATTTTCGACTCGTCAAGCCAAACAAAAACAAACAAAAATTAAGTGCAGAATTTTAGCATATTCTCATTTGTTTTCAATTGTTTTTAGTAAGTTCTCAAGAATAATGCTTACAGTGCGACTACCAAGGCCACCAAACAAATTGTTAATTAAATCCAAAAAATCACATTTTTGATGCAGAAAATAACGGGATGGTGGATTCTGTAGCCTTCTGGGCCCAGTTGTTCAAAGCCCGATTAGTGCTAATCCTGGGTTAACTCTTATTAAGACCTATAGAGTTAATACTGGATTAGCGCTAATCCAGCTTTGAACAACCCGGCCCAGGAGTTTAAACTCTTCTTCGCTCCTGATCATAAATACAAGAATAAAGAATAATATATGCCTGTCAAATATATAGATTCTGTTTAAATACTCAATCATGATTGGTTAATTTGTATGAAAATTTGAATGGATGGCTTTGATTGGTGTAGTCGCACTGTAAAGTTGATGCCATAAGTAAATTTCTTCCCAGCTACTCCATTTTTAGATTCTAAGGGGCCGTTTACATGATACACGATTGAGTTCGTTTCCAGAACAAGAATGACATGTCATACGGAGTTTACATGAGAAAAAATTTACAGAACGAGTTCAAGTTTGAAATGTTTGATACGCATGCGCCACTCGTTTCAGTCTCCCCAGTCTCCCCATGGTACCAGTATTGAATATCGTCACGGAATAAGCGGAATAAGCGAAAGGAAATCAAGATGAGCTCATTACGGAATGACACGTTCCGGAATGAAATTTTGCTCTGGTATCATGTAAACAAATAGAAAGAACTATAAGGCAAAACTCATTCCGGCATCGTTTGAATTGCCCCTTAATTATAAATCGTTTTGTATCTTCCTAGCTGTATAGCTGAATGTCACGTGACACCGTATAGACCCCACGAATGTGACGTCAAAGCAGCTCGATCTGGGGGAGAAAACAAAAGAATTCCAATCTTCTGAGAATTGGAACCTATTGTTTTGTCCTCCAGATTGACCTGCATTCCAAAGTGCTGCAATGGGTGTATATCAGAGATAACCGACCAAAATGAGATTATGTTTGACTTATCGAGATCCAGACAGGACAGGCGACTGTACAATTTATTAATCCGTTATAGACTGTGTTTAAAAAATACACAATTAATAAACATTAACTCATTCTAATAAATTATTTTTTTGAAAAACGGCATTTCAAGATCAAATGTATCACAAATTAAGATTTAAAAAGACTCTCATATACAATTTTTTCCTTAGTCTGTATCTTAAGTTAAACAGACAAATCTCATCTTATTAACAGCGTTCATTGTTAACCAGCGTCTTACAAGATCAGGTTGAAAATCCCAACAACCAACAATAACCGTGCTAAGAAACAATAGTTAATCATCTATTTTTTTTCTCGCAAGAAAATTGATTTAAACTTAAACCCTCAAGATGCTGGTTTTTCGGCGGACAGTGCTAATAACGCGCTTTACTGCGTTTTTCGATAATCTGTGAAGTCAGATATTCTAACGGCTTGTTGTGAACTTGTTTTTTCACTGCTGCCAGTCAAGAACATAAAAGATACCGAATGAATAGTTTTGATTGACGGCAGCGAAAAACCAAATTTCAACGTGCAGCTCACAACTACTGAGTACTGAGTTCGGAGAATGTCGAAAACCGCAGTAGTCTATGGGCGAATAAAACTGAAGTCACAGGGGGAAAATGTCTATAAAGTTTCATATTGTCATCCATTTTGGCCAAGAATCTACCATACCATGCTTATAATCAAGTTGTAAGTTAAGATTCTAAACATTTCTTACAAAACCTTAACTTATTGGATATCAAATGTTTCCCATAATCCTCAGCGGTTTAAGAATTTCAGGAGGGTTTTGACGATTGAGTGTATTAAAGTAAATATACAGGTATATCAAGGAATATGGGTGAAAGTTTTGCTGCATGTTGCTTATTGTCTACCAAGGTGTAATGTAATATGTTTATATCTATAATAATGTCAGCACAGAAGAAAAAAACTATATAAACCTGTAGACAAAGTTTAGGATAACTTCACATTATTGTTTTCTTTTGCTGATTGCATTCCACCACCCATATTACAGTTCCGACTTGGTATGCAATATGGATCATGCAACAGAATCTCAGTTCACCGACATATTTTGAAATAGCTGTATACATTTTTTTCTGTATACATACTGGATACTTTCCTTCAGGAATTCAGGAATTTTCAAGTAAGATCATTATTAAGGATATAGAGGATATTACATGGGCGCGCGGAGATACGAATTTTATCTTCAAGTGTTGAAAAGATCTCTCTCGAGTGAGCGTAGCGAACGAGTGAGAGATTTTCAACACATCTCCAAGCGGCCATGTAATATTCTGTTTATTATATAATTATCAATGAACTATGTTTTGGCTTTTTCTGGCAATTCTTTCCGTGTACTTTTGAATAGCCATCTCAATGGTGTTATTTTCACACGTGATGTTATTTTCACGTGTGAAGATATCAATTTTTCGAAATAGAGAAAAATAGATATTTCATTGGTAATTATATAATAAAACATCATATTGACTTTGCTTTTTTTTCCAGGATTTCCTTCAATTAACTGTCGCTCCTTGTTGATGTTGTTTCCAAAAGTAAACCGTTGTCTTGATCACTGAAGGCATCATCCCTGAACAAAGCATCTTTTCCTAACGGCCTGCTTCTTCGAAGAATATTTGGACGGTGGTATTTCTTTCTCATGGTTTCGTCGTTCTCGTTAACATCTTTGATCCCAGAATTGAACAACTCTTCCATATCCATAGATCCATCCACTAACATTTCAAGAGAAGTTTCTTCACTGGCCTGACGTTTCGGGCCTTGGTTTGCTTCCGTAGGTGAATAGGATCCCTTTTGCAGATGAGACTGGTTTGCTTTCATCTCGTGCATCGCAAATACGTGAGAGTCCCTTTGATAGAAGCTGCTGAATGATAAACTGCAATAACAACACCTGTATCTTTTTCCTACCAATGTACCACAGGAATGCGTTTCCAAATTTAGGTAGCGCAACACACTTTGGCTTTCATTTGTGGAGCTTTCTCTACTCGTAGTCTTGCTGCTACAAACAGATGCAGATCGAGATTCAGTCCAAAGCCCATTCTTGTCTTGGCAGGTGGACTCATCGTATCCTTTTTCTTGTCTTGTCATTTCTTTGGGGTTAACAGGAGAATGTGCGATCAAGTCACCACTTGGACCAAGATCAATGTTACTCTGGTTCGATGAAGTATTAATATATTTTGAAGACAGGCTGTCAGTTGGACCAAGATCAATGTTACTCTGGTTCGATGAAGTATTAATATATTTTGAAGACAGGCTGTCAGTAGAAATGCAGCTTAAAGGGTTCTTCGAAGCATATGGTGGCTCAGTTGACTCAGATACGTTTTCTTGCCTCGTCATTTCTTTGGGGATAACAGGAGAATGTGCGACCAAGTCACCACTTGGACCAAGACCAATGTTATTCTGCATCGATGAAGTGTACGTATCTCTTGAAGACAGGCTGTCAGTAGAAATGCAGCTTGAAGGGTTCTTCAAAGAATATGGTGGCTCAGTTGACTCAGACACTTTTTCTTGTCTTGTCATTTCTTTGGGGATAACAGGAGAATGTGCGACCAAGTCACCACTTGGACCAAGATCAATGTTGTTCTGCATCGATGGAGTGTTCGTATCTTTTGAAGACAGGCTGTCAGTAGAAATGCAGCTTGAAGGGTTCTTCGAAGCATATGGTGGCTCAGTTGACTCAGATAATTTTTCTTGCCTCGTCATTTCTTTGGGGATAACAGGAGAATGTGCGACCAAGTCACATTTTGGACCAAGATCAATGTTGTTCTGCATCGATGAAATGTTCGTATCTTTTGAAGACAGGTTGTCAGTAGAAATGCAGCTTGAAGGGTTCTTCGAAGAATATGGTGGCTCAGTTGACTCAGATACTTTTTCTTGTCTTGTCATTTCTTTGGGGATAACAGGAGAATGTGCGACCAAGTCACCACTTGGACCAAGATCAATGTTATTCAGGATCGATGAAGTGTTCGTATCTTTTGAAGACAGGCTGTCAGTAGAAATGCAGCTGGAAGTATTCTTGGGAACGTATGATGAAACGGATTGCTGCATATCCTCATGCTCAAGTGTGTGCTGATTATGTTTTTTTAAACTATAGAAAGCTCGGCCACAAATGGAACATAGGTAATGCCTCCTTCTTAATAATTTATAAGATTTCATTCTGACATCAGTATTAACAGAGACACATCTTTCTGTACTTGGATCAAACCCAAGGTCCTTATTGATTGCTGGAACTTTTGAAACCACTGTGTCTTGTGGAATGCGCTCACTGCTGTTTTGTGATCCTTCATTAACATCAGAATTGTTTTTGGTGACGAAAGATGGCCCAGCTTTGTTCGTCATTGACACAGTTGTCTGCATATCCTCATGTTCTTGCTTGTGTTTCTCGTAATATTTTGTTTTGCGGAAAACGCGGCCACAAATGGAACATTTGTGAAGAAACCAATTTTTGGGTGATAATTCGGGGTCCCTTTGGATGTTTTTTTTAGAGTGTGAACGTTTCATGTGCAAGGAACGTTTCCTGATGTTACTAAATGCCTTGTTACATAAAAAACAACAAAATACCGACAATCTGATGCTATTTTTCATTGTTGTGTTACCGATGACCTCATTACCGGATTTAGACACGTTTGGAATTGCACGCTCAGAAAGCTTTTCCTCAGATTCTTGTGAGACCGAACCGTCTATCCCGGTCTTAGAACTAGGATCATCAGATGAAGTGCTTCCAGTAGTCTCAAGTGATTTAGATGTTGATTGTTCTTCAAATCTAGGGCCTTCTTTTTCTTCTTCTTGAGATTCGTTGATTCTTCTTTTTCTACCTCTTTTGTGTGTGCGAAAATGTGTGATTAATTCAAGAGCAGTCGAAACCTCTTTCAAGCAAATTTTACAGCATATTTTATTCATACTGTGTGTGGCTGCCTGTCTACGATGCATTTGCATGTGGGAATTTAACTCTTCAGCAGACGAACAGCTTACTTCACAGTGCGGACACTTGCGTGCCGCATGCTCATCGCTGTTGTGTCTTAGAAGATCATCAAGATGTAAAAATTCTTGGGGACATTCACAGCACTTAAATGTATTATGCTTGTAACCAATGACAACGTTATCATTGTTGCTGCGCACCTCGGTTTCAAGAAAAGAATTTCCGGCCTTCCCAGCCTTCCCTGCCTTCCCAGCATTGTCTTTCACTTCAAAACCCGTTTTTAGGTTGGTACCTTTTGATGTCTCCGCCACCTCTTCTTTTGACGCAGTATCCATATTTGTGGCATTTTTGTTGTCTAAACCATGGTGCTTATGTTTCAAATGATTTTCAAAGCTTCCAAAATAAACAAAATCTCGATTACATATATCACATTTGTAGATTTTCTTTTGTTCCGAATGTTTTGGTTCGTTCCCAGTCACACTTTCTGTCCTTCCTTGAGGCGGTGCAGGCTTTTCCTGAGATTTTTTCGTACATTTGCTTGTTTCAAATGTTTTATTTATTTCACCATCTTTGATGACTGTCGCGTCTTTTGCCATTTTCTTGGGAGATGGGTGATTTTCAAAAAATCGAGGTTTCTTTTCCGCATCGATTGATTTGTTTGTTTTGCCTTCGTTAGTTTCAGGTGATAGAGTCTCAGTTGAGCTCTCCTTAGCCGACTTTTTGTGCTTCTTCTCAATATGACGGTTCAACCAATATTCCAACTTAAACAGCATCCCACAGACTGAACAGTTGAGAGAAGTTTTGCCATTTTTATCTTGGCTGTCAAAAGTAATGGTTTGACTTTCAGACACCTCATCAGGTGTATCTGTAGGACCTGTTCCGTCTTCCAAAACAGTTGAGCCCTCCTTAGCAGACATTCCGTGCTTCTTTTCAAAGTGACGGTTCAACCAATATTCCATCTTAAACACCATCCCACAGACTGAACAGTTGAGAGGAGTTTCGACATTTTTATCTTGACTGTCACCAGTAATGGTTTGACTTCCAGACACCTCATCAGGTGTATCTGTAGGACCTGTTCCATCTTCCAAAACAGTCGAGCCCTCCTTAGCAGACATTCCGTGCTTCTTCTCAATGTGACGGTTCAACCAATATTCCATCTTAAACTGCATCCTACAGACTGAGCAGTTGAGAGGAGTTTCGACATTTTTTTCTAGACTGTCACCAGAAGTAATGGGGTGGCTTTCAGTAATGGTGTGACTTTCAGTCACTTCCTCATTACTGCCTGTAGGACCTGTCGCATCTGCTAAGACGCTTTTTACCTTGCTTTTTCTATTGGTAATATAATTATCAAGATATTTATAACTTTCCTTCAATGTGAGTTCGTTCGTTGCAGGCGATGAAACATTATCAAGTTGACAGTCACTCTTTAGGGCAGAGGCCTCTGAAGATGAAACTTCACTGGCTGTATCAGTGTTGGAATTTTGGGGTGTGTATTTCGTTTCTCTGCATTTAATAAAATGTGAAACAAGCTTCTGATGCGAGACGAAGTATTCTTTACAGTAAGAACATCTGTGCTTTGATACCATAGTATGGTACTTCATGTGATCCAATAACAGAGCATGACTCCTAAAGGTTCTCAGGCATAAATGACAAGTTTTTGTTTTCTCTAATTTATGGCCCCTCAAGTGACATGAGAGCCTGAAGCGACTTCTAAATCTTTTTGCACATAGTTTACATGAAAGGTCGATTCGGCGTCTAGTGCTAGGATTTCTTTTAGATTTGCTATTTACATCTGAGTCTCTGGGGACATCTTTTTCGGTTTTCTGTGTTACTTCGCTAACTTTTTCCATTAGGGCTGGTTTAAAGCCAGTGTTCAGAACATCAGATTGACTGTCCGTAATAAGAGAAGTTCCTTCGTCTCCTCTTTCTGATATAATATCTTGCAGGTTGCATTCTTCCATAACTGTGCAAATGTCCGCCTTACCTTGAATAACCTGCTCAGTTTCGTTAGATCCAGGCACAGCGTTAGATCCAGGTACATCGTTAGATCCAGGTACATTGTTAGATCCAGGTACAGCGTTAACTCCAGGTACATCATTAGTTTCAGGTACATCGTTAGATCCAGGAACATCATTAGATCCAGGAACATCGTTAGATCCAGGTACATCATTAGATCCAGGTACAGCGTTAGATCCAGGTACATCGTTAGATCCAGGTACATCGTTAGATCCAGGTACATCGTTAACTCCAGGTACATCGTTAGATCCAGGTACATCATTAATTCCAGGTACAGCGTTAATTCCAGGTACATCGTTAGTTCCAGGTACATCGTTAGATCCACGTACAGCGTTAGATCCAGGTACATCGTTAGATCCAGGTACAGCGTTAGATCCAGGTACATTGTTAGATCCAGGTACATCATTAACATTTGTTTCCAATACATGTATGTCGTCCTGTGACAATTTTTCTTGACTTGGAGATTCACTTTTTGATATGGTCTCATCTTTTTCTTTTTTAGATCCATCGCTAAATCTTTTGATATGTTCCGTCTCATTAGGTATTCCACCAGTCCCATACTTCAGAGTAGGCACTGCCACATGACTGCCTTGATCTTGTTGTTGAGGTTCATCATTTTCCTTCCATTCATCTGTTTTGTTTTCGGACTTACCTTCATCATTCTTAACACTATTTTCATTCTCAATCTCAATTCCATTAGATAGCTGATGAATTTTGCCCGCCATGGACAAGTTTTCTTGATTATTCTCTAGATTTTCAGTTTTATCTTTCGATTTTTTGTTTTGCGCTTCATTTTCTTTGTTCTTTTCGACATTTCCATTTTGAGACTCATTTCCTTTAGCTGCTTCTTCATTTTCTTCCTTCATGCATAAATCTCTTAAATGATCTTCAAGATGTTGATTTGTCTGTGTTGCTTTGTTTTGAGTTTCCGACTCATTGTTATCGTCATTTCTATCTTGCCAATTATTCCCATTGAATACCATTCTACTTTCGTCCAGCATAGGTATATCTTCTAAATGATGTTTTGGAATCTGAGAATCCTCTTCCACTTTGTCTTGAGCGTTGTGAACATCTTCCTTATCAAAACCTTTATTTTTCTTGTCATGGATGTCTTTAGTTTCCATAATGGAGAAGTCAACCTGCCGATCTTTGCCTGGATTCTTAGGTCTATCTTCATAGGCTTCATCTTGAATCTCATCTTCATTATATTTCTCACCAACTTGATTCTCTTTTGACACTTTACTATCTCCATGCATTATGGACTGTCCTTCTGAAAAGGTGCCTTTATTTATAGGATTATTGTGGGGCTGACGTTCATCGGCTTCACCTTGAATCTCATCTTCAATATGTTTCTCAACAACTTGATTCTCATTTGACACTTGGCTTTCTCCATCCATCAACGACCTGTCTTCAGAAGAAATGTCTTTATTTATAGGATTATTGTGGGGCCGACGTTCATCTGCTTCACACTGAGTCTCATCTTCAATATGTTTCTCACTAACTTGACTCTCTTTTGACACTAGGTCATCTCCATCCATCAAGCACCGGTCTTCAGAAGAAATGTATTTATTTATAGGATTATTGTGGGGCTGACGTTCACCTGTTTCGCCTTGAATCTCATCTTCAATATATTTCTCACCAATTTGATTCTCTTTTGACACTTGGCTATCTCCATCCATCAAGGACTGGTCTCCAGAAGAATTGTCTCTTTTATTTATGGTATTATGCTGGGGCTCAAGCTCATCTGCATCTCCTTGAATTTCATTCTTAATATTTTGCTCAAAAACTTGATGATTCTTTTTAGAAATTTCGTGATCTCCGTCCATAGGCAAATCTTCTGATTTATTTTCTGGGTTATGATGACCATTCGAATACTCATATTCGTTTTCTTTGGCCTTATCATCATTACTTCGTTTTTCATTACGTTCTATAAGACATCCATCTATGAAGTGACAGTCTACATCTTCAGCATTGTCAACATATAGTGGTTGTTGGGTATTGCTGTGATCACTAGCAATAATACTAGTATCCAAAGAATTCTTCTTGTTCAGGCATTTACCAGTGCCAAATTTTCTCTTCCGTTTCCGCTTACGGCAAAAATAATTCCTAAGCGTTGTTTGCGTAGTTTGCGTTGTTTGCGTTGTCTGTTTTTCAGGTGAGGATTGAGCGCATTGATCATCGTTTGCTTTTAAGTCAAATCCACTTTGTGACATGTCAGTATCAGAAGAATCTAAGTGTTCAGAAATATCTTTCCGGTTATTGGTTGTTTCGAGAATAACTGCACTTTGTGATTCATTGCTGTCATGCAATACTATAAAAGAATTTGTTTCAACAAACCCTTCACTGCTACAGTTTCCGATACCCTTAATTTCTGACAACTTTGTCAGATCATGTTCGGTAACAGCCAAACAAATTTTTCTTGTTTCTCCAACGGTAGTATCCGGAACTAAACCTGCACCATTCAGAGGTTTAGTACTGGTGGATTCGGAGTTTTTCAAGTTTGGTAAAGGCATATCGCTGTTAGTGCTTCCATCGGCAGCATTACTGGATAACAGCTCTGACATGGACGCGCATTCTTCAAGCTCGGTTTGAAATTGCCTTTTATATTCTGAGGGAAAAAAAAAGAATGATCATGTTTTACAATGTGGATAATATTTTCTACACCAGAAGAATAATTAATACCTGTGTTACACATAGATGTTAATTGGTCTTCAATCCGCGGCAAATCGTGTTCCAATGGGGTAACAAGGACCTTCAAGCACTTGGAAAATGGGTCGGCACACCTTCTCCTTTTCAAAGTCCTTTTACGAAGACACTTTCGTTTATTATTATAAGAATTTTCCAAGTTAGAAAATTCGGCAGCCTTTCTTTGTATTAACAAGCATTTCCTTAGCGAGTCCGCACTTTTTCTGGCAGTTTGACGTCTAATTTTTTGACAAGATACAAGAGTGGCATTTGTTTCTAATTTTTGATGCTGATCTCTTTTTGGCTTCTCATTTTCCAAGTTACAAACATCCACAGGCGAATTCTCGCTGGTTTTTGTCGTATTATCGAAACTCTGTTCATCGATGAAATGTTCAAAAGTTGGACAAGAATCTTCTGTTTGCGAGTCTTTTTCAACTGAATCGAGAGGGGGGGTATCAAGGTTTTTTTCTTGGGATATTTCAGATGGCCGTAAATCATTCCCTGTTCCTTCCTTGCACAGCTTATCTTTAGAAGGATAATGGGGTTCTGCATACGAAAAACCTTCCGAGGACTCTTTTTCACTGAAGTTTTCACAAATTTGAGAAAGATTACTAACATCATTTTCTTCGGATCTTCTCTCATCTTCTGAAAGGTCTTTGTCTTTAGATGATGTTTTCTCTATTACGCCAGTTTTATCTGAATAAAAGGTAGGACTACTAATCCTATCTCTATCTTTCGAGTTTCGCTCTTCTGATGCAATGTCATTTAAACCAGTATTTTTGTTGTCTCTTTCGGCGCTTTTTCCCTCGTCACGTTCACTTGCAGTATTGCAAGATGAAGCACTCCAACTTTCTTCCGATAAAATTTTCCCGTCCGACTGATTCTTAAGACTTGCGTCTTTTTCATGTGAATTTCCATCATCCAAATTGGATTTTTTATGTGAATTTCCATAATCCAAATTGGATTCCTGCAAATTTTCACCATCATCCAACTGAGATAAAACATTCGGATTTTCTTCATTAATTAGTTCATCGTCTTTATTGGAATCACTGTGTTTATTTTTCATTGGTCCTTCATCCAACTGAGATAAAGCAATTGCATTGCCTTCATTATTTAGCCCATCGTCTTTATTAGGATCACTGTGTTTATCGTTCACTGGACTACCATCGAAAGTAAGAGTCAGTTCAGTTGTAACTTCTTCAGGGTTGAGGACAAGTTTGTTGACTAGCTCTTCCAGCTCTTTATTCTCATGGATTAAAGATAAAATCGATTCCTCTTCTGAGAAATTCGTTACCCCTTTGTCTATGAGCGACATGTTTTCTTGAAGAAATGAGACTTCTGTCTGAACTGAAACACCAATTCTTGATTCTTGCACACCAAATAAGGAAAATTCAATTTCAGTGCTAACATCTTTAGATAGAACATGTTTGGATTTGTCCTCGATATCACACTGAATGCCAATGCTTTTGCTCGTTAATTCCTCACCATTTTCTATGTAACACTAAAATAAAACCAAAATAAAAAGTAAGACTTGAAAACTGGTTAAGAAAAGGTAAGCAAAATATAAGCTTACTTTTACGTCTTTTAAATAGCAATGTTTGGTTATCCATATGAAGAGTATTATGTTTTTTTATAGGAACCGTATTCTTACCGCAATTAAATTAAGAAAATAAATGCTTTGGTAGCATCAGAGAGGAAACTAGCTGGAAGGATGAAGGAACTGAACATCAAAACGAAATGTGTCACTTAAAAAACAATTTTCTTATCCTAATTCTTCATTAAAATATTTTCATTCCTTTCATAGAAGCCTTAACTATTTTTCGAGAAGCTTGAAAACTTAAGTAAGATTACTAGATTTTGAAATTCAATTTTACAGTTTTCATCTGTTTTCATGTATGAGAAAGATACGGAAATCACGAACGACAACAGTTTTCGAGAAAAAAAGTTAGAAAAAGAAAAATAATTTTCTTATCCTAATCAGTTCTTCTTTAAAATAATTTCACTCCTTTCATAAAAGCCTTAACTATTTTTCGAGAAGCTTTGAAACTTAATTAAGTTTACTAGATTTTGAGATTCAATTTTACGAGTTTTCATGTTTTCGTGTATGAGAAAGAAACGGAAATCATGAACGACAAAAGTTTTTAATTAAAAAAGTGTACATTCAGCTAAAGTTAACAAGAACAACTGAGACAAAATATAAAATGATGCAAAATGCAATGTAAAATACAAAATAACAATTTGTTTTATCAATAAATTGGCATTTGTAAATGTTGTTAATTATGTTTTTGCTTTTTAAAGTGAAAGACAAGGTCTTTATACAATAACATCATATCTCTCAAAACAAATTTAAGCTCATTTGTATAATCACATAGCTGGAACAGCCCAATAAATGGCGTATATTTGGTGTAATTTTATATGTTATTCAATATTTCTATAAATTATCTATAGAAATATATAAAACTAATGATTGAAAGTATGCGATTGTTTGTTAAAAAACACATCTGAAATCTGAAGAATTATTCTTGATCCATCTTTGACTACATGGAAGTTTTTTTATCCGTTGTTTGTCTATAATTTGTACCCTAAGCGATGTTTTCTGTGCATTTCCGAGTAGTTTTGTTAAGAAGTCAAACGGGATTCCTGTGTTGTGTGCACGGACGTACGTACATTTTGGAATTTTGTGAAGTCCAATTTATCAGTCATATTTGGAGTCAAATTTACTTATTTTTACAATAGCATAAAGACGTTTTGAATAATTTGCATACGAATTAGAAGCATGCGCAGCAGTTTCGTACTCGTGTCTGTCAAAAAGACTAGTGTAAATAATAAACTTAATAATAAACTTGAGAAAAAGCAGCAATACAAGTGTGTTGATACATCTCCATGGTTTTTGTGTGCACTCTTTTGATCTACAGGCTGTAGACGTATGTAACAATGAAGTATCTTCATAAATAACAATGAGAATAATATAGAGGATATCACATGGCAGTGCAGAGCTTTTTTTTTTTTTTTCGAATCTCGAGGCAATATGTTTGAAGTGAGCGCAATGGACGTTTTAATAACGCTCTTGCAATTAATTGCATATAAAACTAATTGCAGGAACGTTAATAAATAAACGAATAATTAAAATACGAATAAATTATATACTGACATTTTTTTATATTACCCTATATATACTAAAATAGTAAATTTCATCAATATAGTGGACTTCAGAATAAAAATATTAACAATTATTTCTAATTAATTTCTATTTGTTATTTGTTATTCTCTAATATTATATGACAAAATTCTTGAAATTAGGCGTTTATTCACCTAATTAATAGGACGTTGTCAAATAAAAATACATAATCACCAAAAGGAATTATTTTTTAAGCGAAACAGGTGTAATGTTTTCATTGTTTTGAAGGTATAAAGGACAGACATTTTTCATATAATCTTGTCGGTATATAGTAAAACAGATGTTTTCAAAGATCTTAATTCATGGTTGAATTACTTGCCTAATTCCTATATGTTATTTTGTTATTTTCATATTACAACGTTCTTGCAATTAGTTGTATATTTTCTAAAAAGCTGAATAACCGATCAAAGTTTGTATTATTCTTTATTAACCCATCAAGATCAAACAATGGATTATTATTTTATGTTTATTCTCTATATTGTTGTGTATTCGTGTAATTATATCCACAGATGTATAATTGCTATAGTTGTATCATCACTCTATAAACCCATATAAGCAACTATTTTATTTTTTGAAATTCTCTTTCCTGTCCAAATTAAAGATTAATTTGGATCGTTTCCATTCACATTCTTTCGAGGGAAAACTATGACTTATGGAATCAGTCTAGTATAGTTTGGGATGATATAATAAATCTGCAATAGGAATACATGTCTCTCCAATTTGGAAACAATTGAATTCAAAAATTCCTCTGACTGCCAAATTGGACTCGGCCTATTAGCCTCTTCCAATTTTGTCAGTTCTCGGAATATTTTTCATTGAAATTATTTCCAAATTGGACAACATGTAGTCCTATTACCTCTACTAATTAGACATTACTATTACCGTCGTATTTCTCTATAAACTTTTTTAACTGTAAAATGATTTTTAAAATTTAATTTATCTCGTAATTAAAACAGTTATAATTCATATTTAAATTCATTTATATTTCTCTTTTCCAAAGTGATTGACAATGTTTTTTATCGAGTAAAATTATCAAAGTTATTATTAATCACTTGTAAACTTGTATAAAAAAGGTATAAAGCACTCGAAGTTGCGCCTATTGTCTCACATTCAAGTAATAACAATTGCACATTATTTCATCGCAGTCATGCTGGTGCCATTTAACAATAAACTTATCCACTGAAATACAAATCCAAAGATCCAACTGATAGTTTTATTATAATCATCATCATCATCATTTAATCATCATCATCATTTAATTACTATTTCATCCAAGAGATTACATATTGAGAAAAAATTTGTATAAAGAGGAATATGAAAGATAATCATATTGAAATTAAATTGCAAGAATGTATAGATTGAGTAGCTATTTATAGAGCATATAATATCAAAAATGGTAATTATGACAATTATCAAAATGATAACTATGATAGTTATAATTTTGATAAATATATAGTAAATTACAATTATTAAGCAAGTTTTTTGAGTTCTATTGTAACTAGTAGAGCTAATCATATCTTTTGGAGTAAAATTTAAATGTATAAATTGTAGAATCAAGACTCAAGACTGACAGCTAATCAGATGTTGTTTTAGTTTAGTTTTAAATGATGGTAGTGAGGGTGCTGATTTTACTTGGTAGGGCAGGGAGTTCCAGACTTTTTGTCCCTGACTAACAACTGTGAATTTCTTGATATTTGTTCTACAAAAATGTGGTCTAAAGTTGTCACAATGTCTAGTGGGATAGGAGTGAAATTGACAATTTTTTGAGAACATGCTAAGAAAAGTGTTAGGAAATATCTTATTTTCAATAGAATACATAAATAAACCTAGCTGAAGGGAATGTATATCATCTAGTCTTAATATATTATTTTGAGAAAACAAATTGAGAAGTACGTGCATCAATATTAGAGTTGGTAATGATTCTTATCAAACTCATGAATAATTCATGAGGAAAACACAACAGAAATCACAACAGAAAGAGTTTTGTAAATCAGATACAGAATCCTGTTCATTTGCATAAACTTTWAGATGGATTTTCTTGGCCAGATTCACTTTTACTGTATCTTGAAAATTTTAGCGAAACACAAAGGAACTAACCTTGATGTTTGATAAGTGAATAATTAATGAGGAAATCACAATAAAAATAATCGTCCATGGAGGAGGTTGTATATCTGATACAAAATCGTCCTGATTTGCATAAACTTTAACTCCGGTTTTCTTAGCCAAATTCAATTTTATCTTTAAAATTATAGTAGAACACGAATGTATACACCTAGACGTTTAATAAGTAAGTATATACAATATGAGTGGCCGTGTTGTATCAGATATACAACCACGAGCCGAAGGCGAGTGATTGTATATCCGATACAACAAGGACACGAATATAGATATACAACCTCCTCCACGGACAATGATTTCTATTGTGTTTTCCTCATTAATTATTCATGAGTTTTATAACATCAATTATAACCTCAAGAAATTTTGTGCTTGACATACGTTCAATTAAGTTATTATTTAACTTAAGTGAAAAATTGTTGTTAATCAGTCTTTTCTGTCTTGGTTTGAATATTATATAGTTTGGTTGTTTGTTTTTTTAAGATTTATTGAAAGTTGATTTGCAATTAGCAAATCTAAAGCTTTTTCCATCTCCTGATGCAGAGTTCTATTTATGTCACTAATATCTTTGTTAGTATTCTGTATCAAACCCTCAGATGCAGAAACATGTTCAATTATTATAATATTTGGCAAACTAGCAATTAGTAAATTATTATTTAAAACTTTTCTTGAAATTGTCTTTTGCTCGTTTTAATTAAGAACAAAGTTCGTTAAACATTTATTAAAATTGCAGTACTTGACACTTTCAAAACACTAATAGAAGTAGACTTTATTTCAATATTAACCAGACTCAAAATTATTTGAAATCTGCGATGGCATACTCATATTAGCTAGAATATTATCTGGAATATCAGAACTTTAGAAAAAAGGCTCTTAAAAAAGTCACTCCAAAAACAATGATTAAGTGGATTCTTACTTAAATCTTGAAGAATCTGACCATTAAATAATGGTGAAGAGGTGATGAGATTGTCATGTATTACAATATTACTGAATTTCGAAAACGAGCAAAGGACTGAGCCGAATTTTGAATTTAATCTAATTGGCAATAAAATTTATCATTGGAGAAAGCACCTCAATATTAGGAATTCTTGCAAATTTGTAACATATTTAAGCTTAAAAAATGAGGTTCGATTGATTCTACCACTAACCTCAAATCTACTTATGATGTATGAACAGCCAGTCATGTATCTAAAATAATTTAAAATATTAAATCTTAAAAAAACCTAACCTTAAATTAGTAAAATTAAATTTCTTATAAACTATAGAGGTGTATTTTGCATAAATCATAAGAGATTATTAAAGATACTAGGGTCTATAAAAGATAATAGGGTCTATAAAAGATAATAGGGTCTATAAAAGATAATAGAGTCTATAAATTAGACTCATTAAAATAAATTTCAGTTTCAGAAAACGAATCAAAAATTTTTCCTGGCAAAATAAATATCCAAATAGAGATCCAAATAAATACAAATAGCCAAAATATGTTAATATATTCTTATA